GGCTACGGAAATTTAGACCACATGTTGTTCTTTGACGTGCATTGACACAGTCCAGTACATGGGCTTCAACCACTTAACTTCCATATAAATTCGACTGCCATGGCCAGAATCGAACCCTTGACCTTCGCGTTAGCAGCCCAACACCCTATACACTGATCCACTGAGGCAGACGGATCGATACTTCCGATCGCTATATAGTATTTTTTTGTGCGAACCCCCCAGTGATTTTAGTTACTGAAGCTGTTCTGCGTTCCTGTTTAATTACTACAATTGTGCCCCAAGATGTGTGGCTAATTTATCACACAGCTTATACACGAATGAACGCGATATAGGTAATGGACTTACGTACTGCCATCCGTACCCATAAACATTATTGTACTAAGAATGGTACCATTGTTAAACAACGAATGACGCTAAAACATAACCCCCTCTCTGGCTATGCCAACGGTGGCTGAAAAGGGTACTTTCGGTGAATGGAGTTTATTTCTCGTAGCGTAGAAACTAAGGTAAGATTCGCACAGAGGCACTATCGAACAGCGCACACACACGAAGACACAAGGAGGAAATCAGTCAACTACTACTCTCATAATTTATTTGCGTCCTCTGGTGGGTTCCCTGTCTGTAGGTGAGCTCATTTGAGACATGCATCGTCTGCACAATGCGAGATCTGTACGTGTCAAGCCCCGTACCACGTGCCAATCGTGGCATTCCTGAGAGTTAAATGGAGGGAATTCGACTCAAGAAGCGATGGGAGCGAGCAGAAACCCGACACGACTCGTCCGTATCGTTTCCGCCGTTCGTGCTTCCAAGGAGTCGTAGTTGCCGGCAAACCAATCGCGTGCGCTCAACATGAAAGCCAAACACAGCTTGCACCGAATTCTCGTCATTCGTATCCAAGTAATTTGCTTGATGCTGAGACGCCAGATTGCGTTAATTATGATGATCTCGAATCTATTAAAATATGTGACGCGGGGCTACTGCAAGTTGTTGGCAAAGAATCGGGTAGCAGAGTAAGAACTGCAAAAAATAGAGAAAGTTATAGCGCATGCGTAACAGACATCAGCGCAACACAGGCAATGCGCTTCACTTATTAAATATCAACGGCATAGTGCCACAAACAGCTTTTTTTATTGTGTATGTGTCACGATCTCATCCAAATTTTCAAGTACTTTTCGGTAATGCTTTCCGATGTGAACGTCATTATTTTCGTGCTCCAGTAAAACGACCCATCAGTATTCTTGAGACGTGTCACGAAAGGGACACACCCTCACAATGTGCAAGCCCATCGGGCTTCTTAGTGAAACTGCCACGTGGTCAACTCCCCTAACTGTAGAGCGTTTCGGCAACGCCACAAAACACTCGGTAACTTACTCAACCAGTCTAATGTTCTATGTCTATGTAGTTTATGTAGTGTAATGTGAAGTTTTAAATACACATTACCTCTATGAAAACCTATTGTTAGACAACACGAGGCTCAAACAAGACACGTGCTTCCACTTGTGTTGGGAAAACGATACAATGGGCCAAGTGTCGTGTAAACGATGTCACGTGTAGAAACAATCCTCAAATCGTGTATGCATGATGCATTCAGCGCCTACGAAGGACCAACGACAAAAAGCTTGCTGTAATACCTCATGTTTCACCACCAGCTATCCATCTCGCATACGTTAATTATTTGTGGACAATCGCTTTCCTGTAACGTGCTGTGCTAACGGTGAAAGATGCCCAGTGTTCGACATGGTGTCAAGAGATGTTAGATGCCACGTGTACTCAACTCGCCTGGTGGAGATTGTGCATGGCGTCAATCGCTGTAGCTCGAACAACTCTGGCACCCTCCCAATTCACCTCCGAGTAACAGCTTGCGGTATCATTTGCGCGCGCCGTATGTAAATATCACGCTAAAGACCTAGCTGATGACGTCCGGAGTGACGTCTTGTGTGCATATATCGAAGGCGCGACATGTGTAGGCCTGTCGACCTCATGTACTGCGGCATTTATCTCTCGAGAAAAGTTTCGCCACCTTACCTTTTTATCGCACTTTTAGGCGCGGCGAAAAGCATCCGTGGCTGGGCTGCCACCGGGCCTGCTGGCCGAGATATCGTAATCGCTATCCGACACACGACTCCCAGACATATGCCAGTCTTGCAACATCCAAGCGAGCCACAGTGAACACTTCGAAACCTAGCTAACGCCCTGCAGAAGTCCCTGCTCCTCCTCCAGACTAATTTCTTGGCGAACGTCATGACGCAAGGGCACAGATGACTTCTCCATGAAAGTACTAATCAATCACAAGGCGTTTATCATAGCCCCTGAAATGTATCATTCATGGGCCCCTATACTCAGAAGTAGTGGCAGAAGCATTCACCTGAACTTTGGTAGTCTTACCCTTGGCAAGCCTCTGGCTTCATCCTATGACTCGGTCAATCATATTTGGTGCTACTGGTTTTCAAGCCTGCAATATCTAGAGCTTCAAACCTTTGTGATGCACCCTCCGAATGAGAAATTTATCATGCAATTTCACGGTCACTGACTAGGAGGGGTTTTGATAATCAAGACACGATGTCGTTGCCATGAATACTTCGTCTTGCCGCATCCACACTTGGTCTAACCAACTCAGTTTAGTGCCTGGAAAGGGTCACTTCCACCACGATTCATCATCAGAAGCAGCCCGTTTGTTTGGGCCATGGGACGAAAGCCTTTTGCAGCCTTGTAAAAGAACTCGTGTGGCGCGCCTACGCATTACCTGTCATGTTATCAAATCTCCCATTTTAGTTTGTCCCTTCGAAATTTTCTGAAGTCCCCTACTATACTTCTCTCTTCTCGAAACCCATTCCACATTTCTCTCCTACTTCAAGGACACCACAGGAAATATGTCCTAGGCAATCGAAGATCTGCCCTATTAAATATCTTGGCATTTATGTGATCTTCAATGCGGGCTACGTTCATTAATAAACAAGTTGACAAAGTTTGAATCGTAACTATTGTTTCACACGTTAGTGTTTTGAAGACAAAAATTCGTTTGAGGTGCCGGTGCACATTTTTAAAAAGCTAGGCACAGCCTAATCCGTAGCCTTCCATTTTTGGTTAACTGTCATAAAAGAATTGTTTCGTTTGAACAGAAATAAAGTGATCCAGATTTCTCTAATTTTACAATCAGGTTATTTTGGTCTGTTTAGCAACTCCGGAGTTTATGGGTAGAATTAGGTCAATTGATGGCACCTAGGATCACCACTTTAGTTTCAGTGAAACCAACCACATAAGCTGAATTGGGTGGAGGTCGGGAGCTATGGATGAAAATGCAGGTTCGTTGATAATGTGGCTGGCCGTCTTGTGCTAAGCAGAATGAGCAATTGAAATAAAAAACAATACAAGGAGACACATTTAAAATAGAGGATAAGTGTAGAGGAATGTTCTTTCTAAACTTTGGCTAAGTCCAGGTGGGCTCAGGAAGGAGAAGTTTCTGGGTTACGTACTGGGAAAAAACAATGTGTGACGGTTCCTTCTTCTTACAAAGAGCAAGTGTCGGGTCTCTCCGAAGTGGTCTAATGTTCTCTGCTGGAAGTGAAACGAAGACATTCTCAAATAACAAACCTCTCAGCTAAAATTATCGCATGCAAGCAGAAACGGTCGGGCATTGCTCTCTGAAAATAGAAAGCGTAAGGCGGGAACTCGAACAAGTCTGTGCTTTCACAGCGGTGTCCTTACGAAGGCACTCCACGTGGCACTGTTTATCGCCATCACCCCAAGCGGGCTGCTTATACAATGCATGTGGCTATTTTCTGCTCTTAGGACGTCCCATCGTGTCCTTCACTTCGAGAGGGGGTGCAAGGCCGCCCCATAAATGCTGTCCTCTATGACGTGCCGTCATAGTGTCGGCAAACAAACCAGACTGCGCCTCCTTTTTTCTTCGCTTCGTTATCAGCGATGCGGACAGCATCGCTTTACGCCTAGGCTCTCGCTCGTTGCACGTCTACTTCTTGGGGACGGGGGGCCTATCGTCATCCGGCAATATCCGAGGGCATAACCACATCTACGTGCAAGCAGAAAGATAAAAATGTGCATACACTGCACTCTGCTTCCGATAAGAGGAGGAAAGAAAAAAAGGGCGGGAAGGAAGAACGCGCTCGAAGATAGAGAAGCCGCGTTTACAAACTCGGCGACGTGTGCCCTGTGGTCACGAGGACCCGTACGTGGTCAGCGCAAAACGTCAAAGGGGTGCAGTTTTCGATATCGTTTCCTCTGTGAACTGGTAACGGTTTCTACGTCCATTAAAAAGTCAGTGACCAAAACTAAGATTGTATGAACGAACGCGGTGCTTTTGCTTTCTTTAAATTGATTTGGCGAATCAACAATTCTGATCTGTGTAGTTTCTGCTTAAAAATCACTCAAATCCTTCCGCTGTACGTTTCTATCATTCACAAAACTGTTTCTCCCACTCTATAAATATGTACATTTATTTTCGGGGTTCACTTTCTCGCTCCTGATTATAAAATGCGAAAATCAAGTGTTTCAGATAACGGTATGACTATGAGACAATTTATGCTAGCACCACCGTAACATTTCGCCATTCACTTGAAAGTCTGTCATCGAAAGAGAAGTGCGGCGAGGCGGCAGCACCCTCGTCTGGGCGCTGCAATGCAGCAGCACAATTTGGAATCGACCCAGAGAGTTATTCAAGGCGAAGCCTCCACTGGCAATCATCTTTTGTAATTTTAACTCAAGGCGTGGAAGAGAAGGTGCATAAGAATCATGGCCCTCTGAATCGAAATGCCACCTTCTTTAGCCTTTAAAAGGTAGTCCAGCAGAATCGCGCTGTCCTGGACAGATATAGGTTGTCCTGGTACCCAGTCATGGCCAGTTCAACAGTCCTTACAGCCAGTCCTGACCACTTAAGCCATCCTTATAGCCAGTCCCGACCAGGTCAACCACCACAACAACCAGACCTGAGAAACAATTCTAATAGCAAGTCCTGACCAGTTACAAGAAGAAAAAAACCACACCTGTGCTTTCCGTCCGTTAGTTTCGGTCGAATCACCCCACGGAGGTTGTTCCAGCTGGAAAGAAACCGGGGAAGTCAGGCCATCGCCACCGTTCTCCGTTCGTGAGGATGTGGGTGGCATGTTGTGGTCGTCGAACCTCTGGACAAAAAAAAAACTTTGAAACTCTTGAAAAGTGGCTTCCTTGCTTGCGGTGGTCTCGGTGGAGGTGGTTGCCCGAGGAGTCGAACCGTCTCTTTGGCTGTCTCGCGAGGCACTGACGAGACCGAAACGGAGAAAGAAGTTTCTTCCCAAGTCGGCGCGCAAAATAAAGAGAAGAAAAGAAAGGCGAGCGCGTGCCGCTGCCCCAACCAGGGGTAGACGCAATCTGAGATCCCGTGACGCCGTCCGTCGCGGCCCCAGACGCTCCTCCCGCGGTTCCCAGTGGTGCGATGCTCGCGGCGTGCCTTCAAGACGCGGTCCTTTCTTTTCTTAATGCATCACTTTTTTCTTCTTAGTCTTGTTCTTCATTTCGTTTTAACAGACACCGACCACCGTAAGGCAAGAAGCCACCGCCGGCTCGTCTCGCCTCCCGCGGTAGACGAGGTCGGCAAAACGGTATACGGTTGCCCTCGTGGTCCCAGAGATAAAAAACAGAGCGTCCCGCAGATAATTTTTTTCGGGGCTATCGTATGGCACCCTGTGGTGGAAGTAGTGTAGCGGTGGGGGGGGGGCGTAGTGGGGATGAGGATGGGGACGTTGGAACTCCCACATTCTGCGTGCGGGGCGGGGAGGATTCTCAAAATCACACCGCACGTCTGCCTCCTCCTGCCAGCGATTCAGCCCAGGGGCTGGGTGGGCACTGGCCGTATTGCGTAATGTCTTTTACACACACACACATACATACATACACGCACATGCGCGTTCCTTAAGAGGGGAGGGGGTCTACCAAATGTGAGGGTGTTAGGCTCGCCACCCAGTTCGTGGAATAGGACGAGGCACTGTACGCCGAGAGGGTCTCGAGTTCGGTTGATATAAGACAGCGCACACGCCATGTTATCGTCGATGTCGGTGTGGAATGGGCCACATTGCGCTGTGTTTTCGCGCGGCACCCACCCCCGCCCCTCCTTCACACACACCCCCTAAGTGTCCCGTGACTGGTAATGTATGTGTACCCCATGACCGCACAGTGCGGGAGTGTGTGGTCACTCGATCCGCGCCCGCTTAAAGTGCGACTCGCATTCTCGCTACGCTTCCATTCATAGAGTGCGTTGCTCGTACGGCGGGAAAATGAAGAAGTAAACTTCGAAAGGAGCGTGCGTACAAGGTGGTCGAGAAAAACACTCTTAGCTGCTTCATTCATGACTCTGTTCACATTTTTTTTCCTTCTGTGTCACACTAGTAGGGCTCGCGTGACAGAAAAGGCAATGCCTGAATTGCCTTTTCCAATTAATGGCCAATAAATTTATAAGTCCACGGTAGAATTATTTTCTCAGCTCTGACTCTTAAATTACATTTGTTGTATTATTTTACGATATTTTCAATCTTGATGCTCCGGCGTAAATCTACAGTTGTAAATAGTACAGCGCCTAGTAATAAGATGTCAGGTTTCGAGAGCCAAAAAAAAACGACATAGGTATGACACGCACCATACTGGTGGGCTCCAGAAATTCTGACCATTTAGTGTTTTATTGTGTGCACTGACATACCGCAGTTCAGGGGCATTTGGCGTTTCGCCCACAAAGAAACGCAACTGCTGCTGCCCAGATTAAACCCACGATCTTTGCGGTTTAGTAGCTGTACGCCATAACCACTGTACCACAGAGGCGTACTTAGCGCAGTTCCTGTAGTATTCTGCGTGATTAGAATGATACAAGTCAGCTTGGAGTTCGAACAGCTGTTATGGCTTACTCCTTCGCTGGTATAGATCGTAGAAAAAGTGAGAAACGAAACTCCTACGACTACTGTCTTTTCTACAGCCAGCTTAGATGCACGTGCCCAATTGTGTACACTGTTCAAGTGCAGTCAATCAAGCCATAGAACCATCCGAAACAATGGTCAGCACAGTGGTGGTAGACGATTCAATCAGTCGTATTTTCTCAAGGGGCAGAAACAGTCCGGAGTCTTCGTGTATTTTAGCTTTAGGCTGGAGCCGTGGGCATCAACTGCTTCGCACAAAAAGCCGGTGGTCCAACATTAACAGATATGCTAGAAAAGTCACAAGTTGTCCATGCCCGAGGATGCTGGTCTCTAATTATATGCGCCTTGAGCCAACCCGTAAGTACGGTGCATGCGTCTGTTTGTGATGAACGTTGCTCTCGTTCTTGTTCAGGTTAAACTTCTGAGCCTCACATAGAATAACCAGTAAAACAAATAGGAGCCTTTTCTGGGGCTCTTCTTTCTACCCTTTGATGTTTCATATAGGCCTACTCGCAAGAGAGAAGAACAACACCATATTGGACTGTGGCACGCGAGTGAAAAAGATTATGTCACACACTAGGCCGTGCATTTTAACGCGATGGCGTTGGAGAGCTTATATCGCAAAAATCCTGTGGTTGGTGTAGGCGTAGTTGCTTGTGAGTGAGAATTTGAGAAAATTTTTAATAAATAAATAAATAAAAAATACAGTCTTGGCCAAGTTAGAATCGAACCATGGGCCTAAACGTCGGAAGAAGGTGTCCTGCCAGCCCCGCCGCGGTGGTCTAGTGGCTGAGGTACTCGGCTGCTGACCCGCAGGGCGCGGGTTCGGATCCCGGCTGCGGCGGCTGCATTTCCGATGGAGGCGGAAATGTTGTAGGCCCGTGTGCTCAGATTTGGGTGCACGTTAGAGAACCCCAGGTGGTCTAAATTTCCGGAGCCCTCCACTACGGCATCTCTCATAATCATATAGTGGTTTTAGGACGTTAAACCCCACATATCAATCAATCAAGGTGTCCTGCCATAGAGCAACGCCATTGCTTTGAACTGCCTAAAACAATTGCCAAGTCTTGTAATAAGCCGCGCATGGCAAAGGACGTTATTTTCACTGCATTCACAAGCAGAGGCGACTGTGTGGTACTTGCCACGCAAGAAATCCGGGTTACATCCACACTCTGACACATAATTTTTCAGTCTTCAATTTATAGGCATCTTTCTCGACTTTCGGTCACGCAAAGATGGCCATTTTTTGCTCACAACCGATAACGCATGACAGCGACGCCGCAAGATTTCCTGCAAAACTAGATCTTTAATGCAAGGGCGTTAAAACCCCTGATGACACGACTCCAGCCAACGTGCGAAGCACGTTGCTTTGTGGCGTATAGAGAGAAAAAAAAACAGAGCCAGCGATGATGCAGAAGCAAGTATGCGCCTCATACGAATGACACGTTCTATGTGCCAAGTTCTCTGTTTTTCTTCTCTCGTTTTCTCTCTCTGTCTCTTCTCCTCCTTCGTCTGCCCGGAAGCGCGACTTGCATCTCTTCGAAACTGGGACACAAAACTCGGAGCAGGGCCAATGACCCCCCTATCACTTTTCTGCACGCACCCCGATGTCGTCGCAGTCATATCCGCACTTCATCCGACGTCGCGTTGATGCTGTCCCCTCATTCTAAGTCGAGTTTGTCCTTGGCAGGCGAATCGCTGTGCGTTCTGTGAAGCTGAACAGATCCCTTAGCTCCTAGTGTCCAACAGATACATTGTAGATCTTCAGGTACAACTTTCAGTTTTAAGCAACCGAAAAAATAACACGGAAATAGTGGTGCCGGATGTGTGTGTTTGTTTGTGTATGTGTTTGTGATTTAATACTCTAAAGAGGTTGACGAAGGCTGGCGGTTTAGTTTCGCTGCTGTGTACATTAAATTTGTTCCCATATAGTTGTCACAGTTTCCGGGTACGTTGTACTTCAGGCTGTGGCACAGATGGACATAAAGAGGCACATGTTTCAATGAAAACGGCTGTCGGCTTTTCCTGGGCAGCTGGCAGGAGTTATTTGCTCACCCTGATGAACTAGAACGCTTTCTGCGCGCAGTGAGAACAGTGCATACAATCGCTGAAAACGTCCGGCAGCATAATAAAGGTGCCCACAAAACAAAAAAAATATCCTTTGTTTCCCATTCAATGATATATATTGAGCTCAAACAGGACAATACTGTTCCTCATTCAAGATCATCAACATCGGTCTATTTTGAATTTCTCCCGAAAGTGTTTTCAGTCCGCATAGTAAATCTGCGTCTAAAATAGTTCCATTTAAAATATTGTACCTAAGGGCCTAAATGAAACTAAAGTACTTATAACTACTAAAACGGGAAAGTTGGTCACAGAACAGGCGGGTTCTAAGGACATTTTGGTCGAAATGAACCATGGGCATGCTATGGGCATGGTCATGGGCATTGCATGACATGGCATGGACATGGAATGTATTGTGAAGGCCAGAGGACCATCGCTCTTTTACAGTAGCAGACTGTATTCCCGCAAGAGGCAAGCTTGCGAGGGAGAGTCATGAAGTTCGGGGGGATGATAATAACAAGTTTTCGAGGATGAAGTTGCCACAGCAAGCAAAGAACAGTGTTAACTTGAGAATTGTGAGAGACGCCTTCGGCCCTGCAGCGTGCATAGTCAAGCTGATTATTGCGATGGCGATCGCGACGTGAAACGACAAGTAACGCAAATTAGGAGATTCATTCCCGATAGCAGGTGTGTAACACAGGTGTCGAAGTACAGACTACTGGATCTTTTGGGCGATACCTTGCGTGTAGCCTGTAGCACGCCTTCAATGATGGGCTGTCAATCACTTCTACTTCGACCCACGTGCCCTCGACCGATCCTGGTGTTTTTGGCTTCCGTAGTAAAATTTCATGAGCAGTTCACTTTCGGAAACAGCATGATTCATTTTTCGGAAACAATGTATTTCAAATAACGTAATATGCTGCACATATTGGAGTATAAGGTTTAGGGAGCAGTAGGTGTAAGGAAACAATAAATTACCCCGCAATTTTTGAGTGTATTCGGCTGAAGTGCACAGTAAACGTTGGTTAGCTCGTTCCTGAACAAGCCGGAAATAAATATTCAACGCTGCCTGTCGAAGAAGCGGGAATATCCAGCTTTTCGCCGTCGCATGGTGTACGAGCTTGTGAAGTCGACTGAACACCCAAACTGTACATCCGAGTGATTTCCTATAAAAGTACCATTGTGAGAATAGTTTTGAAAGTCAACATTCTAGGCGATCTTCTCCATTTCAACTGAGATAAGAGCTTTGGTGGGCTGCTCGCAAAATAAAAAAAAAATTCGCCAAACCAAACAGCCCCACCTACTTGTTTCCCGCCTATAAGACTGTAAGAAAAGCTAAGCTTGCGCATTGTATGCGTCATGGAACTTGACACACGTGCCAAATCATCGTCGAGGAGCTTTTGCTGATGGTCACTTTTTTGAAACTTCTACACCACAAACA